GTGGGCACTGTGTAAAAGAAAAAAAGAGAAGAAAGTTAGATCTAATTATCACAATAAGGTCTTAAAAACCCTTGTTCTTTGCAGCACTAAGATTTAAAGGTCTGAGCTGTCTCAACAACAATTGCATGCGCATGCCACAAGTTTTCCCCTTAAGGAATTTTCACTCCCATGGTGACGTGGTGCATTTTGACAATGCCAATATCCTCAAGAATTAATTTCCCTGTCATTTCCTTGCAGGCCAAGGTCTAACGGAAAGTATTTCAATCTCAGCATGTTGCAGATTTTTTTGCTTTCTTCTGAGCTTTCTGCTGCTGCAGGTTGTTTTAGCCTCATCACAAAAGTCCTTGCCTTTTGAGGCCAGCTTGAAAATATATATGCTGTGAAAGGGGACTTAATATTTAAGAATCTTTAAATATTAATGGAGGACAAAGGCAAAATACAGGCTTTGCACAGTTCTCCTCCTGCCGCTCTCTGATATTCATGTTCTTTGCTTCACATTTTTAAAACTAAAATGTGTGCTCTCTTCTTTCCCTTTTCCTTCAGTCTGCTTCCAGGCTCAGGAAGAGCTGACACGACTGTAGGTGTCATTGCTTGCTGTTTAAAGCCCTTCTGAACAAGCTGACATGCCACCTCACACAGCTGTCACCACTTTCTTCCCTCTGCCAAGCTAAGTCCCGTCCTGCCCCCTCTTCCCCCAGGCTGACTCGGCTCTGCAGATAAGGTGACACTTTTTGCCTATTCATCCCTCCTGTAATCTTTGTTAAGTCAAGTAAGTTACAGGCCTAGGGGTTTCATTTCAATTTATCCCCGTATCAGCAGAGGAATTAGCAGTAAAAGTGGCTGATATATCCCGATAAATTGGCATTGTATGGCCAGGGAACAAGCAGGCTGGATGCAAGATGCGCTTCCTGCCAAAACAGCCATTCATTGCTTTCAGTCTTTACCAGTTTCTCCCAAACCATTTCAATGCAGAAAAACCAACAACAGCCGACTTTCCTTCACTACCCAAAGGTTTCCCCTCTGTTTCCCTCGAATATTTCACACTTCACTCTACAGATCTAGAGCTAACTAAGAAGCTGCAGCACTCTCAGATGATAACCACTCTCTGGCTTTCCTGGGTTTGAGTCACTTGTGGCAGAAGGCAGGCGACAGAGGATGAGAAGGGTAAACGACGGGCCACTACAGCCAGTTTAACAAAACAGCCTAACTCCTGTAGTGAAATACAAACCCCACAAACACCCAGCTGCAAATCAGAGTTGCAATTTGCTTCAGCTTCCTTTGGGTGAGCCAGTGTGTTCACCTTGGTGTGGGTAAAGCAGCGTGCCCTAACCACACGCGCACCCCTTCCAGTCCCGGCTTCACTCAGTGCTCATCTCCAGCCCAGGCACAGGTCCCTGGAGTGGTGGCACAGCACGAAAGCAGTCACGGATTTGCCACGTTATTTGCACAGCACCCGAGCAGCTGTGTCATTTAGATGATTTCATGAACAGAAGACATACAAACAAGTATTACTACACTTATTATTATGGACATGCAATCTGCATACAGGATCCCTCTCTTCCCTCATGTAACATCTCGACTATTAACTAATGGGTGGCTTTGCAATTTGAAGTGCACATTTCAAGCACTCTACTTGCTTTCCCGTTCACTTACATAAACTATTTGGCCTCTTCCCAGCCCAAAACTACTTTTTAAGACCTGGCCTCCCATGGGAGATGGATTAGCAAGTAAGATGCTATCGTGGTAGGCTAAACCACTTTATAAGATACAATTCACGCACTGGCTACCGCTCCTACATGTGTGGGAGTAAGTTAATATTGTATCAACTTTCTACAATATTTACATGCAATCCATACTGAGCAGGGGTGTCTTTCATATCCCACTTTTCTTCTCCGTTTTCACGACAGGAAGGTGAAGGGGGAGATAGGATTGTTTGGATTCTAGTTTTTTTAAAACATCCCTAGGATGCAGGTATATCTACCCATCAGACAAGACAGAAAATCTCAGGAAACAGCTCTTCCCTCTATTTCCAACAGGATTAATACTGTGCAAAAATGCAAACTCCTGTTTCACATAAACGTAATGAAAGGCTAGATACTGTGAGTAAAACTTCATGCCATTAACTCCGTATGTGGTGTTCAAGGCCAACAGTCACTATCTGCAAACCACGCACATCATTACTGAAAACACACCAGCTTCTTCACACAAAAAGTAGTAAAAAGAAGAAACAAAAGATAAAGCTGCAAAAATACCTAACTAAAATGCCAAAAATTTTTATAACACCCCAATACATTCTGTAGTTGTCTAATTCTCAGTTAACCGTGTTCTTTACTAACACCAGTTCTTTTTTAAGTCCATTAACCTTGCTAATTCACAATGATGCATATCTGCATAACAATTACTTTGTGGTATCTAGAAAAGCCCTACTCAGGCAATATAGAATCTGCCGGAGAGCCAGTAACATGGTGATTTTCAAACTACCAACAAATAACAAGGAAATACGTATGCAGCCACATGCCAGCTGAGTGGATGACTACAAAATGAAGCTCTGACATTCTGACTTTATTGTATTTCCCTTCTAAGTACTACTTCCTTGCTTACTGAATATAACTTTATTCTTAGCCCTGTGATATTTTAATGCTCTTTTATTAGCCCCATCTCAATAAGACGGAGATTTTAAAGTAGTTTTTCCAGATACACTAAATTTATTTTAATTCCACAACTGATAACTTTCCTCGCTATCTCATTTTGAAGCTTAATTTAAATGCATTGCTAAATCGCTTGACTTACTCTGCACCAACCTTTTTTACATCGAGGAAGTTCACATCAAAACAAGTGGTGGAGGGGAGAGAGTCACACGGTGGCTTCAGGATTCCAGCCTGCCCAGGGACAGAGCAGGAGGTGCTCAAGCCTGTTAGCAAACTCAGGGAAAAGCACAGCCCTGTAAGGATTTCACAGCCCAGAAGAGCAACCAGGCAGGCGGGGTGTATCCTGCAGGGTTTTCCAAACTTCTTGGGTGGCAAAAGTCGCTCTGCTGTTGGGTTTATGCTTCACGGAGCAGGCGAGGTGAGCCGTGCCCAGAAGAGCCCTCTTGGCATGCCCGCCTGTGCAGGCAGCTGCCTCAGAAGGGCTGCTTTGCTTAGTAAATCATCCGGACAACGGGAACTCATGTTCTGCTTCGGTTAATTATTTTCTCCTCACGTCTGTTCTGTTTCACCAATACATACGGTCAATTATCTCCACAGCTAGATTATCTTTATTAAATTATGCAGCTGCTGCAGAGCACGCTGAGAAATAATGACTTTCGATAGAAATGAAAGGTTCTCCTTGGGTGACAGAAAGCAGCAGGAGAGTTTCCCAGTGCTGGGGACTTTTACTTTCAGAGAGCCAGCCACAAAACCTGCATCAAGGCACACAGCTGTTTTAAGCGCTATAAACTTCTGAATTGGCTTCTTATGACCCTCACGCTTTTCCTTTTGGGAAGTCTGACCTCTAGCATGTCCCAGTTGTCTAAATTGTTTACCGAAGTCTTTTGCTCACTTTCAGAGGTGCCCCATCAGTTCTGGATAATGTCTTGCTTCACATATAGGGTAAACTGTTACCGCATGGCCTCTTCTCCCATTCCGTTTCAACCTCAAGTATGGGAAGGTGGTATTTTCCACCACTTTTAAGCACATTAAATCTCCCCTGCCCCCCCTAACTAGCACTCTCTAGGTTTAAAAGGTATGCACTGGAGTGAGAATTATCTCATGCCATACCTGCACCCTGTTTGGTCTGCATTGGGCATCTTGTGACAGCAGGCAAATAACTGAGTGGGATATCAAACCCCCCCTTCCGGTTTTTTCATTCAAGGCACTATTGAGCAAAACATATTAGCATCCAGGTATTAAAAGAGCAAAGTAAAAACATCAACCAGAGCAAACTGACTTACTGGCGTAGTATTTTCCCAGATTGGGTTTTCATTTATGAAGTCAATGAATTAATTCCTGACCATACTTAATGGCCTAAATCATAAGCTATACCTGCAACCTGGAACTAAGGCCACTCATTGCTGAGATTTATTTACAATCCATCTGCTTTATTCAGGAAGCAAAGCTTTTTTTTTCCCGTTTTTGTTTTTTTTTAAAAGCCAAGCACAACAGTAAGAAAGCCTTAATAGATGCAAAAACTTTTTACCATTTTGCCATTCCAGCAAAGTCGTGGATGTTTAAACGGCTTTGACATTTCAGATGGGAAATTTCTGAAGTCCTCCTGAATATATTACTCCAACCCGTGACCTAGGAAATTCCTCTTTCATAGGTATTTATATAGTCTAAACACTGTTCACTCTCCACAACTGTTGCACTCTGTAACATGCAATACTGCAGACTCACACAGGATCTATTTTAAGACAACTACTTCATTTGACACACATACCCCAAAGAGAAGGATTGTGTCTGCATATAAAACGTGAAAATAATGAGTTTAAAAACAAAGAAATGTGCTCTTAGTTACTGTGTGATGGGATGTCCCATCACACAGAGGACACGCTTTCAATGTTTTCTCAGCACCCTCATGCTTTCACAAGCTCACATCCAATTATCCTGCCTTTAAGTATGGTACCTTGTATTTGACACTACCTTCTTACTATGCAGAAAACTAACCCCACTAAAAGCAACTGTCCTGTTTTCTTCAGGATTCCT